AATATATGCGCGGAGCTCGGGCAGAGTGAGGGTTTACGGCAAGTTGTCGTCATCCTTTAATATCTCCAGCGGCGTGAGACAATGATGTCCGCTGTCACCTTACCTCTTCAACTTGGCTGTTGACGAAGTCATGGAAATCGCGTTCACAGCACACGACTTAGAAGGTGTGGATCTGCTCCTAAGAGAACGACTTCTTGACTTAGAGTATGCTGATGATATTGCACTAATCTGTGACAGCTCACAAACGTGTCAAGCGACACTGGACAGATTAGCACTGACGGTCTGCCGCTTTGGGCTTTGCTTTGCACCCTCGAAGTGCAAAGCGTTCCTCCAAGATTGGCCTGAACCGTCTCATTCGCTGACCTTTGATGAGGATCAGCTAGAAGTCTTCCAAAAATTCAACTACTTGGGAAGTTGTATCAGCGCCCGTGGGATTGAAGATGAGATCACGAACCGTATAGCAAAAGCTCGGGGCGCTTTTGCTAACCTTCGCCACTTATGGCGCCGGCGCGACATCACTCTTGCCCTGAAGGGTAGAGTGTACAATGCAGCAGTACTTTCGACTCTACTGTACGGTTGTGAAACATGGCCGCTTAAAGCAGCGGACCTGAAGAGGCTAGTTACGTTCGACCACCGGTGCCTTCGTAATTTCGCTCACATCTGGTGGGAACACCGCGTGAGCAACGAGCGTGTTCGACGCCTTGTTTACGGCACAGGAAAAGGAAATGAACCGCTCAGCATCGTTGTTTCACGCACCAAGCTCCGATGGCTCGGCCACGTGTTACGCATTGTTTGTGCGCCGAAAGTGTGGATGGAAGAAGAGGAGGGGTGGCCAAGCGATGACTTGGTTGAGAGGAATGAAGGCCCTCACTTCGGCGCTGGCCTCGGTTGGAGCGTCTCGGCTCCCTGGTTGGGGTCCGAACGACGATGAACACGTTTGGTTGGACACACTTGCTGATATGGCTAGGAGCCGACCTCAGTGGAATTCGTGCTGTGAGTTTCTTTGTCCCACCCCATCCCTCTTAGCCTCCCCCTCCAACCACCATCTCATTATTTAGTTTTACATAATTTCGCATAGTTTTTTTGATGCACGGTAGCCGACTGATAGCTTACCGGAACGATGCTCATCCGTTACCGCTAGCTCAGCCGGCTTACACCAGTTGCTTTTTTCTCCTTTTTTCTGTGTATTGCGGCACAGTAACTGAGGTGTTCCCCGCTTCTAGCTAACGTGTATGATGATGATGATGATGAGTCCCGCGGTGGTATTGTTGGTTGTAACCCGTTTGGCAGCGGGCGGGGTTGCAATTGGGAGTGCTTCCGTCATATGGGTAGCAACATCGGACGCGTATGTTCTCGAGCCTTTAAAAGTGTTCAGTGTGTCAGGTGATTCTGTTGAAGGATGTGTGGCGAACGCATCTTTATAAACAGCCGCTAGTGTCTAGGTGACTAACTCTGGATCGTTAATCTTACACTGTTCTGAATTGTAGCTTGATGTTGAGCATCGAATTCGAGGCACTGATTTGTCTGGTTCGAGTGGGACAACTTTCACGGCTGCTGCCTGCTTTACAATCTTTCTCAGCCTATTGCACTTCTGCGCCAACACAGTAATGCATCTGACGAGTGGAAGAGACGTAGAATCAGTGCAGAACCAGAGAGAATCAGTCGTACTATTAAATTTTTGTATCTGGCTGAGACTATGGCGAACACATAGAGCATGGAAGTATTTTCGGTAGTTTCTGCATGCTATTCCAAATCGCACAAGTTTTACACAGCCGTCTGCGCCATAACTAGCGTTTATTCCGGTAGCTTTGGGCTTAGTTTTCCGTGGGCAAGCAGTACGTGCCATTGTGACTGTCGGATCTGCGGAAGTGGTTCGTTTCATTTTCTACCCTGGTATGCTTATTCCAAACGCTGTCGGTCAACCTGGTGGTCTGGCAGACACTGTTCGAGTTCTGTAGAATAAATCCAAGATGGCGGACACAGACGGCAGTTGTGCCAATCAATGAGATCTCCGAGATCCACTCGGCGAAGCTAGAGATTTTGAATGCATATCGAACTAAGTTGGCATTTGGGTTGAGTAAACGCTCACTGAATGCAGCTGAAAGTCACTGGTCACATTTTACCAAACCTTACTAGCAGCAGCCATATGCTCATGTGATAAGCCTACAAACAAACATGAACATTAGGTCTCTTCGCGGTCTCTGGAACTTATAGATGGTCTCCGACACGTTCCGGATAGGAGCGAACAAAATGAGACTCGCAGAGACCTCCGGGTGAAACCTCGTGCTGTCCTAAAGAGAGACGGCGAAGCGTGATGGTCACATAATGCATCGGAGATGGAGATAGACGCTCCCCTTGGTAACCATCTTAAGTTATTTCGTTTGACCCGGGAAAAGGGCAGTAGGAGACCTGGCGTTAGTGAAACTATACGTGAAGAGAGTGGACAGCCTGTCCACAACTTGTCAAAACGCTTGCAGCGTTAGGCTAAGCGTTTTCAAAGGTAAGTTAATAGTCCGGAATTGTCAGTTTTCCTTCCGGCCGCTGATCGCCCTGTCCCTTTGGATCCGCCATCTCACCCAGAAGTCGAACGTTAGATCGGACTGCTAAAATGGAATAAGACCGCGGGACCAGATGATCTTCATCCAGCCCATTTCAAATTCAGGGGACCTGCTCTTGTTGATATTTACATGAGTTGCTAGTGAAACTGTGGGAGCAGGAAACTGTCCCAATCCAGTGGAGTAGCTACGTTATTGTCCCTATCTTCAAAAGAGGCTTCCGTTCGGAGTGCGGCAACCATGGAGGAATCAGTCTGATCTCCAGCGCCTCGAAATTGGTTGCCTCTGTTATTCCTCACAGACTGGCTGGATATCGTGAAAGCCAGATTGGTGAGGAGCAATCCAGCTTTCGTCGAGGTAGAGGATGCACCGACCACATCTTCACCTTGCGTCAATTGTTGGAGCACCGTCACATATATTGGCGGCCTAATGTTGTCATGTTCCTAGACATCAAATTGCCTTCGATTCGGTTGATCGATGTGCTATTTGGAATAGTCTGCTAGGAAAAGGTATGACGGTGAAGTATGTAAATATTATCCGAGCACTATTCGCGTGTAGCTCGGGCAGATTGAGGGCTTACGTCAAGCTATCGCCGCTCTTCAGTATCTCTAGCGATCTAAGACAAAAATGCCCGCCGTCACCTTCCCTTCAACCTCGATATTAACGAAATCATGGTAACCACGTTCACTGAACACGACTTAGAATGTGTGCGGCTGCTCCCAAGTGAACCATTTCTTGACTTGGAGTATGCTGACGATATTGCTCTTAACTGTGACAGTGCACAAAAGTGCCAAATGCACTGGGCAGGTTAGCACTGACTGTCACCCGTATCGGGCTATTTTGCACCATTGGAGTGCAAACCTTTCATCCAAGATTGGCAGGGACCGCCACTTGCGCTGACCCTTAGTGGGGAGCAGCTACCATTCCTTTACAATCCAACTACCTAAGCACTTGTATCAGCGCTTGTGGAATCGAAGACGAGGTCACAAACCGTATAGCCAAATTTTGAGGCGCTTTTACTAATCTTCACAATCTAAGGCGCCGGCGTTACTTCACTCACTGCTTGAACGGTAAAGTGTACAATGAAGCTGTACGTTCGGCCCTACTGTACGGTTGTGAAACCTGGTCCATTAGAACGGCAGACATAAGGAGGCTAGTTACGTTCGACCACCGGTGCGTTCGCAATTTGGCTCATATCTGGTGGGAACACCGTGTGAGCAACGAGTGTGTTCGACGCCTTGTTTATGGCACTGTAAGAGTAAAATAATCGCTTAGCACCGTTATTTCACGCATTAGGCTCCGATGGCTGGGCAAAGTGTTGCGCATGCCAGTCCACTGCTTCCCGCGAGGTGCCTTGTTTTCGCGCCGGGTATGTGGATGGAAAAGGAGGCGGGGTGTCCAAGCGATGACTTGGTCGAGAGGAATGAAAGCTCTCACTTCGGAGCTGACCTCGGTTGGAGAGTCTCGGCTCCCTGGTTGGGGTCCGAAACAGGACGAATACGTTTGGCTGCATATACTTTTTGTTATAGCTAGGAGTCGACCTCATTGGCGTTTCTGTTGCGACTTACTTTGTCACAACTCCCCCTCCAACCACCACCTCATTTCGTAGCATATTATAACTGTTACATTATATACTTTTTTACGGCACAATAGCTTTCCCGAACGATGCTCATCCGCTAACGGTGGCTCAGTTGGCTTGCTTCGTTTGCGGGATTTTTCTTCTTGCTTTTTTACGTATCTCGGTACAATAGCCGTGAGGTTTTCCATCTTTGGTACTAGTTCAATAATGCAAAATAAAGCTAGTGAAAGCTTACGCATACGTTTGCAATCATAATGAAAGTGGGCAGATACAGGTGGACTGCTACACCGTGCGGAAACGTTACAGCGTAGCTGTTCGCTAATCGGCAGTCCGTCAGCAGTGAAAAATCTTACTTTGAGGCGTCCAGGATATGCCAGTTGTGCGTAGTAAAAATGCTATATGTTTTATTATGCAGGTATTGAAGCACACATGCATAAAATTCTGTATGGAAGGAAGTGAAGAGTTTGGGAATAAGGTAATCATAACCCTTAACAGGTAATCCAGTTTGACTGAAGAATCAAAGTTGTATTTGGACTTTACACAGTAGCTGTATACACACCGACTAGCATACGGGTGTCCAAAGTCCGCCCCGCGGGACAAATGCAACCCGCGTTAACCTTTCAACTGGCCCGCAGCCTCAATTTGACGTAATAAATTCAGGCCTAGACATTTTCGGATATATGTGCTTTCTATTATTAGCTTTGTGTCAGACTGAATATGGCCCGACATATTTTCACCTCACAAAATGTGGCCCTCCTTGCTAAAAGTTTGGATACCCCTGGACTAGCATCTTTCCGTGCTTACTTAATAAATTTTGCTCATTTTTGAGTTTTTTACCACACGTTATTTTTCATTTCACATGGCAGCGTTCCAGTAAAGCTTCAATGGGTCGTGCTAACACTTGCCGGACTTCATGTGACCAAATGGGGAGTGTCGCACAATGTACAACTTTTGGAACCAATCGCTTTCGATATTGGGTGAGTTCAAAGCTTGTCGAAACCCATTAGCCACTTCTCCAGAAGACATTTATGACATGTTTGTCTTGTCGTCCCCATTCCTAACTCCCTCAGGTGGTACCTTCCAAGACCTCTGCGCGATCAGCCGTAGAACGTCCGAGTCTAGCACAGACTGTTTTGCAGCAGCGCCAACGCATCGCTGCGCAGAATCGGCAAATAGAAGAGTTGAAGTCAGCACAGCGTTACACTGAGCTGATGTTGGAGGCTAAAGCACATGCTATGGTTGACCAGTTGCTTCTAAAGGTACGTGATCATACCATGTGCTTGCCATGTTTGGTCTTTGTGCTGTAAATCACTAAGCGAAACAGATCACAAAAACCTGTTGCTGGAAGTTACCTGCTTTACTCCGGAAGGTGCAAAATTTCCAAATCAGATACGTTCACCATTTCTACTCATCGCAATTAGACAAGGTTTTATTTGAGGCTCTTTCACTCGGATTGAAATTCTGATGTACAGGTAACTATGGGAGTTAGATTTAGGGGGTCAGTTTGAAAATCTCCATTCCCAAGTAGCTACCGTTACGCCGTCATCAAACTTAGTAGCTGAGCAGTATGTGTACACACTGGTTAACACATGTTATGACTACCAAAGCTTTTAAACATGTGCCGGACGTCTATTGAAGCAGAACCATCTAGATGCCCTCAAAGAATGCAAGCGAAACTATAATGCACCCTTGTGTAGACCGGATAAAGGAGCCGCCATTGTTCTGATGGATAAATCGGACTACATCAGCATGATGCATACTATCTTTACTGACGCGTTTAAGTTTCGAACAACGAATAACGAGAATGACAAGATACAGGTATTCGAGGGATCCATAACGAAACCTGCGTTGCTTAGAGTAGGGGAATGTACTCGACTCTGACATCTTCGAATACACCAGACTGAGTGAAACAGTGATTACTAGACTTTATGACCTACCCGAAGTACATAGGGAATAGCTACCGCTAAGACCGATACTGGATAGGTGTAACTCGCCGTATCATTCAACTGCCAAGTGGCTTGTCAAACGGCTTGAACCTGTCAGAAAAGTCATATCCAGATATAACCTCAAGGACACTTGATTTTCTTAACTCAGTGAGGCAACTTGAACTAGCCGGTCGGAATATATTCTCAGTACATGTGGTGCTTCTTTTCACCAATGTTCTATTGGAGGGGACTACAGACTATCTGTGCGAGTCCATCCGGTTGCGCAACATAGACATCGGTGTTCCATCAGGCCGATTGAGACAACTGCCAGTGATATGCACGAGAAAAATTGTTTCAGTTCAATGGGACAACATATTGACAACTAGACGCGGTATCCATATATTATATATACATTTATTTATTTATTCACAGTTTGTTAACAGACATTGTGCCATCAGAACCATGGCAGAAGAAAAAGGTGAAGAAGATGTGAACATGAACTGCGATTAAAAATATGGGAAACGATCTTTTTGGTTTTACACACGCAATTTTGTATTATTTGTCTTGTTTCGTGAGTTTTTGCGTGCCTCAAAGGGATGGTAAAATGACAGAACAACATTGACGCCACTGATGTCTGTTGCGAGCCATGACGTCCAGTGTTTCCAACCACTGAGATTCATCATCACGTGGTCCCCAACCTGGAAGACGGACTGGTCCGACTGCCACCAAACTTGAGGTTGCCTTCTTCATGCTCCTTCTCCACGTCTTTGGCTGTCCACCGAAGCATTTTTCCAATCGCTCCCTGGGAGTGCAAATAGCGTTCGACGTGGAAGACGATGGGCTGGCATGCGCAAAACCTACCCAAGCCAACGCATGCGATGTCGGAGAATAACATCCTGAAGATTGGCACTATTCGCCCCAAGCACTCGTTCTCGCACCTCTGCGTTGCTTACGTGTTGTTGCCACCACACCCGAGCAATCCTTCGTAGACAGCGGTTGTCGAATACTGACAGTCGCTTCATGTCTTCCGAGCGAATAGGCCAAGTCTCACAGCGGTACAAGAGTACTGCACGGATGGAAGCATTGTACAACCTGCCCTTGAGCTTGAGACTGACATCACGATGACGCCATAGATGTCTCAGCTTGATGAATGCAAGGCGGGGCTTTGCAATCCGCTGTGAGATTTCATCTCCAACACCGCCACCAGCCGTGATGGAACTCCTTAGATAAGTAAAGCAAGTGGCTTGTTCCAGAACATGTACAGCAATGGTGGGCGCCGGTTCAGCCACCTGTCAGTCCTGGAGCAGCGTTTTACATTTTTCGGGGTGAAGAGCAAGCCGTACTTAGACGCCTCCATCGCTAAGTGGTTCAAAGCGCTCCGGACGGATTGTGGGTCCTCCCTCAACAAGGCGATATCATCGGCGTAGTCCAGGTCCGTGACTCCATCTCCATGGAGGAGCATAACACCGCAGTCCTGGACACCTTCCAGTGCTCTTTGGAGAACGTCTTCGATGGTGAAATTGAAGAGGAAATGTGAAATAGGGAAACCTTGGCGAACACCGTTGGTCACAGCAAACGAAGAAGAGTGCGTGTCTTAAGCCCTGACTTTGTCCGATGTATGACTGTAAAGTTCTTTTAGGATGGTTACAAACTTGTCGGGCACACCTTTCTTCAGTAAACAGTTCCACAACGCAGATCTACTTATTGAACCAAATGCCGCTCGGATGTCCAAAATCACCACGATTGTTGGCCGCCGGTGGATGTGACGAAGTTCCAGAACTTGCCGAAGCGTGAAGATTTGGTCGATGCAGCCGCGGCCTGGACGAAATCCTGTTTGTTCTTCTCGGCAAAAGTTCTCTCTAGTCGTTGCAAGCCTGTCAAGTAGGACCGACACGAAGATTTTGGATGCGACAGAGATTAACGAGATTCCACGGTAGTTGCAGCAATCGGCGCGGTAGCCCTACTTGTGAATCGGGACAATGACAGATTCTCCACATGCGTTCGGAACCTTCTCCTCAGTCCAAACTTTCGTGAACAGCGATAGGATTTCGCTGACAAGTAAACTCCCGCCATCTTTGAACAGAACCGGTGGTAGGTTGTTGGGACCCGGTGCCTTGTGGCGTTTCAAAGATTGGATTGCATTTCGAATCTCTGCTTCATTTGGGGGGGGGGAGCTGTGGAGACAGGCCAAACATCATACATTGGGGCTGGAAGTGTCATATGGGGCTGTGTTGGGTGGTTAAATTGAGAAGCGAAATGCTCTGACCAGCGACCCGATTGCCTGTGAATGCTAGTTATCTTCGTGCCGTCCGATTCACAAATCCTCTGGCTGATAACGTGGAAATTGCAACCAGTGGCCCTGATGATGTAAAATAGACGGCGGAAGTTGCCGGCTGATGCAGCGGCTTCCATCTCATCAGTTTGTTTTGACCACCAAGCTTCACGATCAGAGCGAAGGCTTGCTTTCAGCTGTTGTGTAATAGGACGGCGGTGTTCGTTGTACTCTGCACCAGCAGGCACCGCCCGTCGGCGATTCAGCAATTCCGTGGATCTTCCCGAGATCCACTTTTTGGGAGTGGAGTGAGCGAGGCCACAGCTAGACAAACCGGCCGACAGCATGGCTTGTTGCAGACTTGACCAGTGTTGATCAACATCCAGAGTGTGAGAGAGAGCGAGATTTTCACAAAGCCTTTGTTGATACTCTTTCTTTACCATTGGGTCCTCCAACTTGTAGGTGTTCAGTCGGGTGTGTTTTGACCTAGGCGAACGACCGAAATGCATGCAAACGGTCGTACACACCAGTGCATGATCAGTATCGACGCACGTTTATCAAAATGATCGGCAGTCGCGTACGCTGCCGCCCCACCTGCGACTTATATCTATGTAGTCAATCTGTGACCAGAGCTGGTTTGATGATGGGGGGTGCCAAGTGGCGTATTGGCGTCCAGCATGACGAAAGTTGGTGCTGGTGAGGAATAGTTGATGATCAGCACACAGACTGAGCAGTCTCTCTCCGTTGTCTGAGCGAATATCACCATATCCATGCGGTCCCCCGAGGTGGCGCTCACATCGCAGCAGACGACCGACACGCGCATTGAAGTCACCTGCCAAAACAATGATGTCTGTTTTAGGAGCCCTTAGGAGCAGCTCATGAAGGTTCTGGTAGAACTGGTCTTTGACGGTGTCCGAGCTACAGTCAGTGGGTGCGTAGGCAGAGCTCACGAGTAGAGCCCGCTTTCCGACTCGACGTCTGCTGACTTTACAAGGGCCATGGAGCCTCATCGCACAAAGGCGGCTATTGATCGGAATCCAATCAATCAAAGCAGTTCGGCTCTATCACTGAGGGCGTATCCAACACCAGCTTACCCAGATGCGGCAGATTCAGCGTCACCAGAGAGACGTAGATGGAAGCGGGTGCATGGGTGGAGCGATGAAACCAGCTGGTAGAAGGAGTTAGCGTCCTAGAGTCGTGTTTCATTCAGGCAGCAGATATCACTTCTAAGGGTCTCTAGCGTGCGTGCAACTCCAGCTTGTTGACCGATCTGCAGTAATGTGCGTACGTTGAAGGCTGCAAGTTTGAACTGCGTTCCGGGTTGCAGGAGCGAGGATGGGTGACTTTGGGACCGGCAGCTCTATGTTGAGTACTGTGTGGTTGAGTTGGCAGATGTCACGGGAACAGGTTCATCGGTGTATGTGGGGTTGAGCACCATAGAGGAATCAGATCAAAATGGGTGTGAATGATACAAAGGAAAGGTAGTTAAAATGGTGGCGTGTGCTTGCGCAGTTGGCATAGTGACATGAATGAATAGCCTGGTAGCAGCAAGACAACGGGTGAATGGTTGTGACTGTAACTCCATGGGTAGCCATGGGTTCACCGTTAGGTCCGTTGCTCGCAGACATCTTCATAAGGTAATTGGAGAGCAACCGGCTGAACGAATCCATCAACATCTTGGTGTATTATGGTTTATATGTGGACGACATATATTGTATCGCGGATAATGGAGTTTGCGTCGATGTCTTATTGGCCGACGTCACCTCTGCACATGGGAACATCACCTCCACTATCGATCCGGAATGTAACGACCATTGTCATTTTCGGATATCCAAATAAGCACAATGATTCATCACGAGTAAAACAGCATATGCTTGACAAGTCCCCTAGGATGGTTGTAGTAAAAATTAAAATTAAAAGAATCAATGGATAAGTGAATCGTCAGTTTGAGCATCTGCCGAGTTAACTGCACTGATTCGTGACGCTAATTCTAAATGAAAATTGAATCTACTTACACGGTAATATGAGGAGCAGTTATAGGTCATGCACTCTGCGCGAAAAA